CATTTAAGGTCTGAAAAGTATACTTTAACTTCAAGTTAATGACACTAAAAAAGATATCTGAAAGTGGCCAGACAAAATATTAAAAATTACAAAAGTTATAGTTGTTTATAAACAATTTTTCAAAATTCAAAATGGCGGATACAATATGGCGCACGTTTTTAAAAAATCGTTTGGATTTGCTTGAAACTCCCTACTGAGGGGTTTGTGGGGTCGCTGAAAATGAATCCGGAGTCAGTTTTTCAAAATTCAAAATGGCGGACAAATATTTAAAATCACTGGAAACTACTTACTTCAGACGAATATATTAAATTTTTTAATATATTTAATTTTTATATTTTAATTTTTTTTAAATTATTTTTTTATATTGGATCCGCCATTTTGAATTTTGAAAAACTGACCTCTGATTCGTAATAAGCGACCCCGAAAACCCCCGAGTAATTATTTTCAGACAAGTATATTAAGTCTTTTCAAAAGTCGTCCGCCATATTGGATCCGCCATTTTGAATTTTGAAAAATTGACCTCTGATTCGTAATCAGCGACCCCGAAAACCCCCGAGTAATTATTTTCAGACAAATATATTAAGTCTTTTCAAAAGTCGTCCGCCATATTGGATCCGCCATTTTGAATTTTAAAAAACTGACTCCGGATTCGTAATCAGTGACTCCGAAAACCCCCAAGTAAAGAATTTTACAAGGATCAATAAAAGGTATCGGTTTAATTAGTAATTTGTTTACATAATTTGTTTATAACAAATTACGTGTGTTCATACGATTCACAGGAAAAAAGTACTTTTTATTTGTTTATTTATATTAATATAATTATATATACAAAATGAAAATTAAATATTGGGGTTTAGCAATATCTTAAAAATTTAGTGAGGATTATTTTAAGTCAAGAAAATCGAAAAATGTTAAAAAATTATTAGTTTTACGCTGTTTTTAGTGCTTAATGTATATCCTGTCTCAAAAGTGTCAGACGAATGAGAATTTTGCAGTTTTAAAAAAAAAAAATCGGACAAGTGCGAGTTACACTCGCACTGAAATCGAGGGTTCCGTACTCGAAGCGAACTTATTTGGTATAAAAACAAATGTTTAAAAAATATGTGTTGTATGACAACTAATATAAGTGATACAAAAAGGAACAATTTTGTAAAATTCAAGAAAATTGTTCCTCTTCGTATCACTTATATTAGTTGTCATACAACACATATTTTTTAAACATTTGTTTTTATACCAAATAAGTTCGCTTCGAGTACGGAACCCTCGATTTCAGTGCGAGTGTAACTCGCACTTGTCCGATTTTATTTTTTAAAAAATATTTTACTAAAAAAATATAAGAAACATAATTTTATTTCAACTCGCAATATTTTTATTGTATTTACATTTTAAAAATATATTAAATATTAAATTTTATCTTTTTAAGTCAAAAAGAGATAAAACTTAAGATATTGATATAAGGCTAGTAGCTGCTTGTCAAGGAAAAATCGAAAGTTATCTAAAAAATAAAATTTGTTTATTAATTCCAGAAAAATCAACTCCAATCATCCTCGCTATATTTTTTTGTAATCTACACGTAAAAATACGTCAAAATATATAAATTTGAATCACTGTAGAAAAACTTTTTTCGTTTTTTGCGGAAAAATACATTTTTTTCTGAAATTTATCATTTTTCTTCAAAAATTTGATAAAAATTGATCATCAACTCCAATCGCGCTTACATTTTTTCCCTGTATTTTTCACGCAAAAATTGAGTTTTACAGCAAGTATGAACAGTCTGGATTGAATATTGTGTGCGCTAGGGAGAATAAATCATTTTTTTCGAAATTTTTGATTTTTCCTTGACAACGCTATGTAAATTAATCCGAATCAAGTTCGCTATAATTTTCCTGTAATTTTCACGTAAAAATACGTAAGTGTGTCAAATTTGAGCTCTTTATGTCAAAAGATGTGGCCGCTAGGGGGGGGGGGGGGTACATACTCATTTTTAGGTATTTTTTGTAAAAATTCATGGTTTTTCCTTGACAACGCTATGATAATCAACTCCAATCATGCTCGCTATATTTTTTTTGTAATCTACACGTAAAAATACGTTAAAATATATAAATTTAATTTCCTTTAAATAAAATTTTGTTCGTTTTTGGTGGAAAAATACTTTTTTTTCCTAAAATTGTCATTTTTTCTTGAAAAACTTGATAAAAAGTTAATCATCAACTCTAATCGTGACCGCTTTTTTTCCCCTGTATTTTTCCCGTAAAAATACATTTGTATACTAAATATGATCTGTCTGGGTTGAATATTGTGTGCGCTAGGGAGAATAAATTATTTTTTTCGAAATTTTTGATTTTTCCTTGACAACGCTATGTAAATTAATCCGAATCAAGTTCGCTATAATTTTCCTGTAATTTTCACGTAAAAATACGTAAGTGTACCAAATTTGAGCTCTTTATGTCAAAAGATGTGGCCGCTAGGGGGGGGGTACATAGTCATTTTTAGGCATTTTTCGTAAAAATTCATGGTTTTTCCTTGACAACGCTATGTTAATCAATTCCAATCAAGTTCGCTATAATTTTCCTGTAATCTACACGCGAAAATACATATGTGTACTAATTTTCAGCCCTCCAGATAAATTTATGTGGCCGCTAGGGGGGGGTACACGATTTCAAAAAAACCGATATTAATAGGGTTCCGAACCGAGTACGGAACCCTAAAAAGGTAGAAACAACATTAAATAAAAAAATAAACAATTCTATCCGATAGAGAATTCAAAGTTGCAATACATAAGCCTATAAAAGGATCTAAAAATAATATTTTTTTTAAAAAAATAGATGCCAGACGAATGAGAATTTGTCTGGTCACAACGCAATCTTGGTCACAAATTGAGAAATTTTAGTTAATAGAATAGCAGATTAAATAAAACGCGCGTGGTCTCACATTTAGTTTAGTTTAATTAATAACAATAACGAACTGTAACTTCATTAGAATGTTGATTTTTAATAATTTTAACGTGTTTTCAACTGCCAGACGAATGATAACAAAATCCAGGGACAAAATTCAAGAAGATATTTTATAAATAAGGTATAGAGTAATGTCATAATTATTTCCATATTAATAATCTACAACTATTCAAAATTACTAATCCAATATGAATTTTCCGCTAAACACTTGAAAAATAATATTTTTTCTCAATATGAAGTGTCAATTACACTGCGGGACATGCCAGACGAATGAGAATTTAGCACTTTGATGTGTATTTTTTGCAAGAAATATTTTTTTTCATCGGCTGCTTTTTAGTGCCACAATAGAAACCATTTAGATTTACAATTTTCATTAAAAAAAAAAATTATTTTTTTCAAAATTAATATACAAAATAAGCTTGACCGCTCATAATTCCCTCGTTTGTAGAATCACCCATATATTTATACTTAAAAAAAGTTTCAATTTGTTGACTATAGAGACCGCTAAAGTTGGTCTCCCTTTTCTGCAGGGCAAATCGGTGGGCAAGATTCCGGTTAGACCGTTTAATCTAGAACAAAAATTCAAATTTTTTCTGAATTTGTAATAGATTTAGCTTTAGAGTACGTAGGATATTTTAAAAATATTAATTTTTCTAGATTTGGCAGCTATTTGAAGGAAAGAGTCGATTTTTAGGGCGAAATTTTTTCAAAATAAACTATTGCCAAAAAAAAACACACCTACCAATAAAAAATCCGCTACGTACTCTAAAGCATTAGTAAATGACGATTAAAAAAAATGTTGGCCGAAATCAATCCGATCAAAACTGTTCGAGCTAGTCTGCCCACCGTTTTCAAAAATGTCATTTCGAGAAAAACACGTTTAAAGTTTTGACATATATGGAAAATTACGACAAATTATGTTTTAAAAGTTCATTAAATTATCGTAAAAAAAATTTCTACTTTTTTGCCTCTATTAATTTTAATATTTGTTTTATAAAAAAAATCTCAAAGGAAAAAAAAGGTGCGGATTTTCATTTCCTACAGGATAGCGTTTTTAAAAAATTTGAATTTTATTTTTTTCCATTTATGGACCACCTGACTGGTCGCAAGGCGGCTGCCTCAAGCGTAGGTCTCCTTATAGAATCGATGTCCTCAATTCACAATAATTTTAGATCCCAAATAATGCGAGAAAAAAAATTGACACCCCTTAACAAACATTCATTTCGATAAATTGAAATTTCATCGATCCCTACCCTTAAAATACTGTTTGTCACTTGATTTTGACGTCCAGCAAAGGCGGGTTTCAGAAGCTAGTATATAGTTTATATTAATAAGAAGACGAGCAATTATAATTAATGAAATTCTAAACTTTTGCCGATGTATTGAAGTTACAATTAAAGTGGTTTCGAGTTTCAAGAAGAGCTTTTAATAAATTATAGAAGTTGTTAATATATATATGATATCCATTGGTTCTTATTGGATCGAGACATAACTAGCCACAAAGTTTAGAAACTTCATCAGATGTATATATATATATATATATATACACGAGTTTGTTGTTGGAATTGAAGTCTCTTGCAACAAGGGGTAGATTTTCGTTCCTTTCGACCACCGAATGGCATCTCTATTACATGCAAATTCGTTTCTCGTCGGTTTATAAACGAGACTTGAACCCCCCCCCCTCTTCATAGAGCCCCGAAGGGGTTAGTTGTTAGTTCAGTTCGGTTTAATTTAGTTTAGTTTGGTCAATAGTTAAACCGTTATTGTATTTTGCGTCCTATCTGGCCAATGAGATGAAGGCCCGCTTTTCCTTATTTACATACTTCGTATTCCTGTAAATACGACTCGTGAAACTTTCTCTTTTAAATGGATCAAAGGGAATTATTTAATATTCCCTTTTAATTTTTCATTTCTTAAAATTTCATTAAACTTTTCCAAAACTTCAATGTCTATATGATTATTTTTTTAGTCGTATATTTCAAAAAATTAGAATTCGCTATTTTTTCAATAAATGGTTGTTTTTATCATTAAATAATAAATAACGAATTTAAATTGCATATCTAACTATTAGTATAACTTTATTGTGTCGTAAATCAACAAATTGTGACAATAAAAGTATTAGATTTATATCCAAGTATAAAATTAGATGTTTGAGTGCTTTTAACTATCTACATTTATATAATTTTTTTTTTCTTCCACAGGAAAATAAAGATTTAATCCTTTTTTTACTTACTATGAAGTTGAAAGGGAAATTAAATTTGTTCTAAAATTACGAACAATTGTGTTCGAATCGCATTTTTTTTTTTTTTTTTTTTTTGATAATAAAGAAATATGAAATTAAAAATCTACGAATTATGGAGAACTTTGTTGAATGCATTGTAAGATGTTTCCAAATCGAAAATCAATTGTCTGACTTGATTGTCGGAAAGTTCATCAGACGCTGACATGTTGTTTAATGTTTGAAGCCATTCGGAAACTTTTTCTTTACCATCAAAATCACTGGGAAGAATGCTAAGTCGATTCATTGTATCCATAAGATCACGAAGATCTGGATGTAATTGATCCATTGCTTTGATTTCCAAACGTAGTTTATCCATTAAGGTGATAAATAAAGAAACAATATCGGCAATGCATTTTGATGTATTGCCCTTATCGTCCTTTATCGTTATTGGTCTGTCCTCTTTGATTCTTTCGAGTGCCGCTGGACAATCGAGCCTAAAAGCTCTCGCAAAAGCATCAATCGTTGGATATTGATCGCTTTGAACCTGAAAATAAAAAAAAAAAAAAAATAATTAAAAATAACACTCAAAATCAAATAAAATATTTACGAATATAAAATAATAAATTCGCAATTTTTAAATTGCAGAGAAAGATCAAAAATTCATTTTTCAAATTTCATGAATTTTTATTTTCAAGTGGAAATTTTCGGTGAAGTTCACAATGTTTATGATCAACGATAAAAAAAAAAGAGTAAAATATTCTTAACGCGAAAAATATTGAAATTTTTTGCCTACAAATTTAAAAAAAAACTATTAATCAAAATCGTTTGAAAAATATTTTTTTCGTTTAAAATCTTATAATTTGAATAAACATTTTTATAAATAATAATTTCGCAGGCCTTGGATCGACTTTAAGACACAAAAAAAGTCGTTTTAGTCGATTTATATTCCCAAAAAAATCGAAAAAAGTCGATTTTTATTATTTTAAAAAAATTTAATTGGTTAATGAATATTTTACTATAAATAACTAATGTTATAAATTCATTTTATTAATTCTGTAATGAGAATAATTCTATAAAAATATTATCAAGAAGATTTATTTCCAATATTTCACAATTGAACTAATTGTAAGACAAATTTTCAAAATTTTATTTAAGTAGAACAAATTTCCAAAAAATATTTTTGAAGTTACATTCTTATAATTTTTTGATGTCTGATTTAAGAAATTTATTCGAATTAAAAATTTTGTCATAGTTTTTTAGTTTTTATAATCAAAATAATTTCAGGCAAAAACTTAATCAAGTTTTAAAGATTTTTAAATAAATTTTTTTTTAAATAATAATAATTTTAGAAGAGTTAAAGTTGAAATTTTCAAAAATAATTGAATTTCAAAAGATTTGGTTAATTTTCAGACAATAATTAAATTTTACATAACTAAAAATAATTTATCAAATAATTTTAGATAACATTTTTTTAAAAGTAATTGAATTTTCAAAGATTTACAATTTAGATTTTTGAAATTAATTAAACTTCAAGTGATTTTTAATTTAAAATTTTTGATAATTTCTGTTACTAAAAAATTTATTAGAAATTGCAGATAAAAATACAATAATTTGAAAATTTTTTAAGTGAAAAATGGTTTGAGATAGTTGAATTTTCGAAGAATATTATAAAAATCATTAAAAATAATTTGATTTCACGAGAATTATAATTGAAATTATTTAAATTTGAAAAAATTTTATATGGAAAATTTTAGAAATAATTAAATTTTAGAAGCTTTTAAATTGTAATTTTGGAAAATAATTAAATTTCAATTGATATTGAATTGAAATTTTTGAAAATAATTGAATTTTAGTTGATTTTTGAATTGAAATTATTGAAAATAAATGAATTTTAGTTGATTTTAAATTGAAAATTTTGAAAATAATGTAATTTCAATCGAAATATTGGAAAATAATTGAATTTTAATTGATTATGAATTGAAATGTTGGAAAATAATTGAATTTTAGTTGATTTAAAATTTAAAATTTTGAAAATAATTGAATTTCTATTGAAATTTTTGAAAATAACTGAAGAATTTATTAAAAATTACACACAAAAATTGAATTTTTAAATTTTTTTCATTGTAAAATGCTTTCAGATAATTGAATTTTCGAAGAATATTATAAAAAATTATTAAAAATAATTAAAAATTTTACAAATAATTTAATTTCAAGTGATTTTTGAATTAAACATTTTTGGTAATTTTATTTGCTAATTTTTTTTTAAATAATAAACAATTATTAAATTTTATAAAAATTGTAATTCAAAAATAGTTTAAGATAATTTAATTTGTGAAGAATTTCATTAAAATTATTAAAAATAATTAATTTAGTTAAAAATTTTAGTTAAAAATTAATTAATTAAATTAATTTTTAACTATTTCTTTTAATTATAATTGAAATAAAGAAGATCTGAAGAAGATTTGCATTGTATCCTTAAAAAAACGTATTTTGTTTTAAAACTTTGTAAAAAAAATTTTTAAAATGTCGAAAAAGTCGCATTTTATTAAAATAAGTCAAAAAAAAAATTCGAAAAAGTCGTGTAATCCGAGGCCTGAAATTTTTTTTAAAACTAAAAAAACTGTAAGATTATTTAATAATAATTTAAGATTTACTTTAATCAAGATTTACCTGTTTGAAAGCTGCTCTATATTGAACTAATAATTTACTGCACGCTGCTGTATATTCTTTAGGTGTAACACAATCTCTAATGTAGGCCTTTTCAAGATGCTGAAGAGTATTAACAACTGCGTATAAATCAGCTTGATTATCATATTTTTCACGTTCTCTGGCATTTTTATATAATTTTACCTCCTCGTATAATTCTGGTCGATCTTGTGCTATCGACATGATCACCTAAAATAAAAATAAAAACAAAAATCATCAAATATATGGAAGGTGATTATATCGATTGGCACTTAATTTTTTTTTTACGATATATATTTTATAAAAATAAATACCTATATATCGGAAATCACAAAACAAATGTGCCTGAACTTTTCAACTTTTATAGATAAACGAAAAATTTGTTTACTAAATTTTTAACTTCAAATTTTATTAAAAAATATTGTTTTCTATATCACAAAGTAAATTAATAATTTATTAAATATTTAATTAACATTTTTATTTTTCAATTCCTGTAGTTATTTTCAAAAAATTTAAAAATTAAAATATGAAATGAACTTCAGACACATAAAAAAAATCGATATTTTTAATTTTTAAATTTAATTAGTTAACATTAGTTATCATTAATTTTTTAACAAAATTTAAAGTATAATAATAAATTAAATAAAACAATTATATAAAAAAAATTTAATTCTTTTTTTCATAAAAGTTTGTTAAGTCTATAATTCATGGAAATTAAGCTAATCTAGATTTTCTCGACAAAATATTTAAGAGAAAAATCAAAAATTAAATGGTTAATTCATGGAATATAATTTTGAGTCGAATAGATAAAAGAATTTTTGAATTAGAAAAATTGTTAAGATTTTAAGAGTAATAAAATTTTTTTCATATTAGAACTTAAACAATTTTTTTTTTAATAATTATAACTATATTCAATCGAAAATATTGAAAATCTAGAATTACTCAATGAAATAATATCAATAATACCTTCAAATTATATTTAAAATTTACATCAATGAAGTTCACAAAGTTTATGATCATTAAATTGAAAATAAAAATATTTTTCAGTTCAAAAATAATAATTAATTTTTCCGATAAAATTTTTAAATCAAATAATTGAAATTATACATTCAACTATTAAATTAATAATTTAATTTCTCTCCAAATAGTAAAAATAAATGAATTTAAATAATCTTTATAAATAATTCATAATTGTAAAAAACTTATAAAAATAAATAAATAATAATAAATAAATAACTAAATCACTTTTTTTAAGAATAAATGACTAAATGGTTTTTTAAAATATAAAATTGATAATAATAATAATAATAATAATAATAATAATAAAATAAATAAAAAAAATAAAACTATTCCACAGGAATAATCAATTTTTTAAGAAAATAAACAATAAAACACATGAATAAATCAAAAAACATTTAAAAACACAAATTTATAAAATTTGAAAAGACACAAAAATTAATTAATATATAAAATGTGCAAACGTTTAAAAAATAAAAATGATCGTTTTTATTATTAACATATCTTAAATAATTGGAATTTACAAAAAGTTTTTAAAGGTCAATTCATGAAATAGGTATAGGTATTGTTGAGTTAAGTATATATATATATTTGAAAGAAGTTTTTGAGTTGGAATAATATTCTCAAAAAATCGAACTAAATTTTTTTTTTCTTTCATATTAATACTTTGTGATTTTTATTTTTTCAGAAAAAAAATTTGCTTTATTTCATATAAAAAGTTAATAATTGTACTTTGTTTGTTAATTAAAAGAGCAAAAAATTTGTACACTAAATAACATTGTTATTAAAACTTGAAATTTAAAACTCCGAAAAAGAAAAAAAGGTATATGCTTTTGAAAATTATATATTATATTATATATAATAATTATATATGAAAATATTAATTAAAAAAAGAATTTAAATTCTTTAAAAAAATATATATATATATATAATTATTAAATAAAATGTCTTAAAATGACACCAAAATAGAATTTTTTTTTTAAATTTCTAGGTTATGTTTACAAAAATAAAATTATTGATTCTACAAAAAGAAATTTTAATTTTTCAAATAGTATTTCGAGAAAATTCTGTAGAATTTAATGTGATTAAAAAAAAAAACGTGTAAAAAATTAATTTCTACTTTATTTGTGATATATACTCAAGAAATGACAAATGACTCATCCCTTTGTTAAAAACGTCAAATTTCCCTGATTATAAAATAATGCAAACATTTCTTACCTTCAAATAACAATAGTTTATCAAACAACTACTTATTTAATTAAATAACACACTGTTTTTAATTAATTAACTAAGAAAAAATGATTTATCGTTTAAATTCTCGAGAAAAAATAAGACATTGTAATGTCAATTTTTATTCTTTGATAGTATTGACTAGTATTGACGACAATGACGGGAAAAATTTGAACTACTTAGCTGCTTAGGGCGCACTCACACCTCTGGCTGCCTGCACAGGCAGCCAGTGAGAGCCAATCAGAGAGTCAGTAGATTTAAATTTGAATTTTCTGTCTCTCTTACTCTTGTACGTTTTCTGCGTGGTGGGAGGCTGCCTGTGCAGGCAGCCAGAGGTGTGAGTGCGCCCTTAGTATCTAAACACGAAATCTGTCTTATCATTTATTGATATAAACAAAAATTGCAAATGTTATTAAATAATTAGAAAAATATTTTATCAATTTTTAGCTAATAAAATAATATTTTTTGTCTTGTTTTGCAAATTAATGTTTGCTATTAAAAAAAAAAGAATAAATCTATAAAGGCGGGAAATTTTAAATTTAAATTACGTTCAAAAAAAAAAATTCAAATTTTTCTTCCCTAAAATTTTAAAAATTGATCATTCTTTTTCTAACTTATGACCTTGATGTTGTCAAATAAATAATTAAGTATTTAAAGTTTATTCAATACCTTTAAATTTTTGATGGCTTTTATCTAAGAAAAAACCTCATATATATTTGATCAAAATTTAAGATATTTAGAAGTTTAACTTTTAAACTAACTTTTGTATATATACATAAATTATATTTAAACTCTTTTTACCAAATTTCGAATTTTCTCTTTCAAAACTGCTAATAACAAAAGTAATTTTATTTTTATTAATTATGGAGAAATATTTAGTTAAAAATTGTCTTTTGCAAAAAAAAAAAAATAATCATGAAAAATGAACAATTTTTTTCCAAAAACTGTATTTATTAAAAATTTAAAAAAATATATGTTATAGAGGACCATTGAACATGAATCTTCAAGACTACAATATAGTAATAACAAAGATCACAACGAACTTACAATATTCAAAAATATAAACGTTATATACTAAAGACATTATGCATTATTTAACTTTTTCAAAAAATTAAACAAAAAATACAAAAATAGTATAAAATTAAATAACTTTCGTTTATAATTAACAACATTTAGGAACTATTGAAAATCTCTTTTATCACATTTGGTTTATTATTAGCTAGTCTAATATGACAATTTTCGACAATTTTCCCCTCTTTAATACAGGGACAATCGAAGTTTTCAATTCTTTTATTAATTGAATTTTCGTTAGATTTTTCATGAAATATTTTAAAATTCACTTTTTTATCAACTGTAAAGTACATGACACTTAAAGTTAAATTTTTCTCATCAATAATTTCCAAGGGCGAATATACTTTTAAATTATCACCAATATTTGCTTTTAATTCTCCAATAAATTCTTGAACAAACATTAATGTTAACATTTTCATATTAACACTTTGAGCATTAACATTTTGAGAATCATCATTATCATTATTTATTTTAGTGTTCAATTTAAAGAGGTTTTTTAATAAATTAAATTCATCATAAATTAAAAAACATTCTGCAAATTGTCTATTGTATGCATTATATAATTTTTGAATACATAATTCAACGAACTGAGAATTATGAGTTTGAAATGTTGATTGTTTCAATTGATGTTTCCATATTCGTAAAAAGGAAATTTCTGTGTCCACTATGGTTCGTAATTTTGCCGCAAAACTGCCTCTGCAATCAGAAATAATTGTTTGAAAAAAAAAAATTAATTATTTAAATAAAAATATAATACATAATAAACTTATTTTTTAATTTATAAAAATCTTCATTTGGCAAAAACTATTATTTATTGATGATAAAAATTAATAAAATTATGATTAAAATTCAAAGTGATTTAAATTTCGCTCTTTTTAATTATCTGCTTTATCTACAGTTCATAGGTTGGAAAATTTTATGGATAAACTTTAAGTGAAAAATGATTAATTATTGTATTATTTTATTTAAATTGCAATTTAATTTTAAGGATTCATTGAGAAAATGTTATTCTTAATATTAAAACTCAAAAAGAAACTATATAGCTATAATCATTTTTATGTCGACAATAAAATTAAATTTAAACAAAATAATATTTATTTAAAGCAAATAAATATTTAATTGGAGCAAATTATTATTTGAAACAAAATAAATAATTTACTTCTAAAACAAATATGTTTTCTTTGAATAATGTTAATCTTAATAAATATATTTAGAAAACAAATTTATTTCATTAGGAAAAAAAATTTATTTAATTCAAAAAAAAAAAATTATTTTTGGTTCTAAAAAATTAAAATTTTATTTAAATCAAATAAAATTTATTTTGAACCCATATATTTGAAATAAATATATTTACTAATTTCTGAGATAAATATTTTTAAAAAATAATAATAATTTGTGCCTAAAGTTCAAATGAATGAAAAATTTGTTAACTACAAATTTTTTTTGTTGATTCAAAGAAAATTTATTTGTTTCAAAAAAAAATTATCTTTGATTCAAACAAAATTATCTTCGTTTTAAAGAAATTTGTTATTTAATTCAAATAAATGTTTCTTTGACCCTATATTAATATTAGAATTTCTTTGATTTAATGCACAAATTTCTTTCATTCAAAGAAAATTTTTTTAAATGAAAGAATTTTTTTTTTTTTTTTGAAAATAAGAAGCTTTTTTTTGTTTTAAAGAAAATTTTATTTTGAATCAAAGAAAACAAGTCAAAGAAACTGGTTTCTTTAAATCAAAGAAATCTTTTCTTTGGGTGTAGGACAAATTTCTAAAAAAAAAAAATTCTTAAAGTTCAATTTTTATAATTTTTTGAAGTCTGATTTAGGCAATTTATTCGAATTAAAAATTTTGTCATAGTTTTTTAGTTTTGATGGTCAAAAAAATTTCAGGCAATATTTAATTAAGTTTTACAGATTTTTAAATAAAAAATTTTTTTTAAATAATAATAATTTGTGGAAGAATTAAAGTTGAAATTATTAGAAATAATTGAATTTCAGAAGATTTTGTTAATTTTCAAACAATAATTAAATTTTACAGAACTAAAAATAATTTATCAAATAATTTTAGATAACATTTTTTTTAAAGTAATTGAATTTTCAAAGATTTAAAATTTTGGATTTTTTGGAATTAATTGAACTTTAAGTGATTTTTAATTAAATTTTTTTGATGATTTTTTGTTACTAAAAAATTTTATTAGTAATTGCAAAACAAAATACAATAATTCGAAAACTTTTCAAGTGAAAAATGGTTTTAGATAATTGAATTTTTGAAGAATATTATAAAAAAAAATCATCAAAAATAATTGAATTTCATGAGAGTTATAATTGAAATTATTAAATTTCAAAAAATTTTAGATGTGAAAATTTTACAAAGCTGAAGTAAGCAACATTTATGATAAATAAACGATTTTAAAAGAAATAATTTTTTAAATTAAAAAGTTCTCTAATATTTTGTCTAAAAAATATTTTTTTATAATTTGTTGATTAATAAAAAACTACAAAAAATATTTTTTAGGGAAAAAAATTATAGAATTTTTCATTTTAAAAAATTATTTCTTTAAAAATCGTTTATCATAAACGTTGCGTACTTCAGCTTCGTAAAATTTTAGAAATAATTAAATTTTAGAAGCTTTTAAATAGAAATTTTTGAAAATAATTAAATTTTAAAAGTTAAAATTCCAAAAGTTTATAATTGAAAAATGAATTTAGATAATTCAATTTAAGAAGAATATTTATAAAAATCATTAAAAATAATTAAAATTTTTGCAAATAATTAAATTTCATGTGATTTTGAATTAAACATTTTTAATAATTTTATTTGCTAATTTTTTTTAAAAAATTATAAACAATTATTACTTAAATTTTATAAAAATTTTAATTAAAAAATAGTTTGAGATATTTGAATTTGTGAAGAATTTCATTAAAATTATTAAAAATAATTAATTTAGTCAAGAATTTTAGTTAAAAATTTGTTAAATAATTGAAATAAAAAAGATGTGCATTGTATACTAAAAAAGACGTATTTTGTTTAAAAATTTTTATAAAAAAAAATCCAAAAAATTCGCATTTTATTAAAACAAATCGAAAAATGACGGAAAAAGTCGTATAATCCAAAGTCTGTAATTATTAAATGTTTAATGTAAGTTTTTAATTTTTTTTAGTAATTTAAAAAAAAACCAAAAAAAAAATTATTTCATTTATTTAAACGTTTAGAACATCAGGTAAATGTAAATTCAAAAAAAAACTTACTTTTTGAATTTTCTCTTCTTTTTCTCACTCTTAACAATATTACTGAATGATTCTAAAATTGGTTTCGGTGATGAAGTTTCATTGCTTATGATATTAATAATTTCAGTTGAATTATTTGGATGATGATATCTCGTTGATGATATCTCGGAAATTCTTTGCGATGGTTGAATTGTCAATAATGATTGTTGACTTTCAGCTTTAGAAAAAAATGTATCCTGTGAATCCATGGGCGATTTACATGATAGAATATTTTCATTTGTAATTGTTTTCTTTAAACAATAATTATTCACGATAACACCCGGCGTATCATCGTCTTCAATAATAAAACTCTCACTTTTTTCAGATTCAATCACATCATCATCATCATCATCATCATCGATTCTTTGTGATCCTTCTTCTTCTTCTTCTTCTTCTTCTTTTAGTTTTTTCTCTTTTTTCTCCTCTTCTTCTTCATAATCATCGATTCTTTGTGATGCTTCTTCTTTTATTTCTTCCCTTTCTTCTTCTTCTTCACAATCATCGATTTTTTGTGACGTTTCTTCTTTTATTTCTTCTTTTTCTTCTTCTTCTTCAAAATCATCAATTTTCTGTGTTAATTCTTCTTTTTTCAATTCGACTTCTTCATAATTATCAATTTTTTCTGATACTTCTTTTTTCACTTCTTCTTCTTCGAAAAATGTCTCATCAACTATTTGCGATAAATTACATTTATCATTAGAAATTTCAGTTAATGAAATATTTGGTTCAATTTTAAATTTTAAACTACTGTCAACAGTTTTTATAGTCTCATTTGTTTTATTTTGTCGTGATAAATTTTTTTGTCGTTCAATTTTTTTAGCAAGAATTTTACCACCAAGAATTGGTGATTTTTTAATATTACTTGTCGTTGGTGTTGTTGTTAAAAAAAATTTCTCCGGACTTTTTTCATGTATTTGAAATTTAATTTCTTGATTTTCATCCGTCAATGATGATGATAAATTAAATAAATCATTTTTTTTTATTTTTAATGAATTTTTCACTTGATTTAAATCATTATCTAGAATTAATTGTCGTCGTGGTCGTTTAATTGTTGTTTTAATAATTGGCGATTTAGATGAACGTTTTGTAAATGATGAACTTAATATTGGTGATGATGGGAAAATTAAATTTTCTAATTTTGAAATATTATTTTCATCATTTAATAATGTGGATTGTGAAATTAAATTTTCTGATTTTATAAAATCATTTTCCTCATTCATTAACCATTCGGATACTAATAATTGTTTATTTTCATTGGATAAAACATTTGTTTTTGAATTTTCACAATTATAATTGGGATAACAAATTTTGAGGTTAGAATTTATTGGTTGATCATCGTTGAAATTTAATTTCTGTCTAACCTTTGGTTTTGAGGATTTTTTATTCTTATGATGACAAGATGATGATGTTTTTTTATCAATTGTTGACATTTAAATGAGAGGCGATAGAATTTTTTTTGTTTTTTAAATGCACATACCTCTTTTGAAATGATTTTTTTTGCGATGAGCACGTTTGTTTTCATAATCACACACCTACGATGAATACCTGGTGTTCGTGAACAGTCGGTGGTCGACAACGACGGGGGAACATTTACTATATACCTATATATATATATATCGAGAGTGATGTCGCACTTCCTGCTGGCACACAGTTTATTGACGTGAGAATGTAATCTTCGCAATCATATAAATATATAGCTTTACTCGAAATCAAAAAAAAGAAAAAGATAATAACATGTGTGTAAACGCAGTTGATTTTTTAAATTCGAAAAACACTTTTGTATTATATATTTCATAAAACGTGAATTTTATTTAATACAATGATGATGCCACAGTGATAGATATATGAAACAATTCATCTTCTTTTTACTATAGTAATATAGACATATTTATTTGAACAAGATATATTTATCACACACAAGATAAAATGTATATGAAAAGTTTGAAATTGTTTTTCAATTGAATAATATAGAATTAAGAGAAATATTTTCTTAAATTTATTTGACAGGTGATTTTATGTGAATTATTTATTGAGATAAAAACAATTAACTGTTTTTTGATATATTTTTAGAAATAATACATATAATTTGAAAAAAATGACACTGTAAACACACCACGAATGTACACGTGCAGTCACGCATAAATGTGTTGAGTGCGCCGACGCACAAGAAGATCCGCCATATTTGGCGTTTCCATGACAACGCAATGATATGGTTTGAAAACACAATGCAATTTAAAAGTTTGAAATATTATAATGCATGAAGAATATTTATTTTAAATTCTTTATATATGTTCCCTTAATATATTTAATTGAAAATAAAAATACACAGTAGTTTTGATTAGAATTTATATTTTATTAAATTCTGTACATATATATTTTGATGTATTTTTTTATATTATCCTATTAATTGTTATATATATTGTAAAAAAAAATTTTTTTTTTTATTAATTTTTTCATTCTTCTAATTTTTTTTTTAAATAAAAAAAAAATATTTTAATACAATAAAAGTTATACATTAAAAATTTACATTCTATTCAACAATTTAAAATTAGAAATTAATCGACCAGGGGCGAAGTTAGAAAAATATTTTCGGGTTATATAAAAAAAAGTAGGGGGGGGGGGTAATATTTTTTCAAAAATGTTGACTATGATTATAAGTTATAATTTATTATTATTTTTTAAAATTTATAAATTAGGAAAACTAAAAATTAATAATGAAAATAACATTTTTTGAATAGAAAATTATGTAATTCAATAATAAATAAATTTAGAAAATTTCCTTTTGTAAATTTAAATCAAATGTTAATATTCATAATATGTATTTATAATTTATTATATCTATAATGCATATTTAAATAATTAAATAAATAAATTTATAAAAATAATTATTTACATTTAGATTGAATAATAAGTAGATAGTTAATATTTTAATTTAAATAAAATTTCAAATATTTAAATAAATATATAATAAATTTTATTAAACGATACTATAAAATAATATTTATAAAAAAATACATAACAAATAGTAAATATTACTTTTTTTTACACAATTTTTAGAATTTACATTTAGGTATTTTAATTGGAAAAAAATTATTCATTTACATGGAATTTTTTAAATAAAGTAAGATTTATTTTTTAAAATTATTAATTCACTTTTAATTTTTAAATGAGAGTCTCTCTAAAGTTTACCTATATCGAATGACATTTTTAATTATAAAGTTCAAAATAAATTGTTCGATAAAAACAATTTTAGAATAAAATTATCCAATGTCTAAAAGTTTGTAAAAGTAATATAAACGTATTTTCTCTGATTAATTAAAAAAAAAGAAATACCTAGTTAAAAATTTTCAATAAAATATATAAAATTTTATAGGATAAATTGAAAAAAATTATTTTTATCTATTTAATATTATTATTATTATTATTTAAATTTGTTTACACGTTCCCTTTTGGTAAAATAATATTATTATTTTAGTTTGAGTACATTCTTTTTTTAGACTTAAATTTTTTAATATTAAAAATCAAAATTTTTAGACAATATAATTTATAAAGTAAAAACACAAGTTTCAAATAAATAAACAAATTGTAAAAATTTATTAATGTTAATATTAGATAAGTACATATATAATAGATTGTAGGAAAATAAAAAAAAATTACATGTACACTTTATGTACTGTTATCTGTTGTATAAGTAAATTAACATTTATCAAATACGCTATAAGAATTAAAAAAAAATCATTATAAGTTTATAAAAGATCATGTCTGTAATGCAATATAAATAAATCAATATATGCAGTTAGATGTATACCTAATATATATATATATGTATGAGTGTATTTATGCACCTTTCTCTTTCATATATATGTAAATTCAATAATCCTTTTCATTTTCCAACATTTTACGTCTATCCTTTAAATTTTTATATTTTAAATTAATAAATAAAGTAAATTAAATCCTCTTAAAAAATAAATCCTTCAAAATAATTACCTTTATACACTGTGAAAAAAATTTGGTGAGTTTATAATAGCAATGAAAGTTGGGAAAAATTATTGGAGTTAAATACAAAAGTGAGTTGGATTAACTCTTCCTTCTTGTAAAATTTTTATCAAAAATTTTTAAAAATTCATTTTAAAAATTCGCTCTTTAAAAAAAAAAATATTCTCACGATTCTCACATAATAGAAACTAACAGCTTTTAAATAAATAAAAAAAAAAAAAAATTCGTTGGTATAGGTAAGTATATAACATACGTTCATGAAAGAAACATTTTTTTTCAAATAAATTTGAATTCTTAGCGCAGATTAATTAATTTTGAAAAAATTTAGTTCAATATAGGTAGTTTTTTTAGTTTTATTAATTTTAATATCAATTTAAAAAATTAGTTTTTAAAAAATTCAAAACTTATCTACGTAATCTCTTAATTAATTTTCAATTTAATTTATAATAAAATTTTTAAAATTATGATAAAAAATTTATTAACTGATTTTTTATGCGAATTTCATTTCTATGCAATATGAATTGTTAATAAAGCTCTTTGTTCCCTTTTCTTTGTTAATAGAACAAACAGTCTTCCATATTATTTTGAGAACTTTCAAATCTCTATAATATATTTTTCATTGGTAAGATCTGAATTAAGGTGTAGGTATTGTTCTATATTATTTGGTAGCCTTATTATACGTTTAATTAGAATTAAAATAGGTTCAAAATAGATTCCTTCGTTTTGTTGCATGTTCAGTTGGTTTATTCTTTTGACAGTAATTCTTTTTGTTTTCTGATATGATTTTTTAAAAAATTTTTAATAAGTGACAGTTCTTATAATTTTTTTTTATTCCTAACTTATATTTTCATTTAAGATTAAATTAAATATATATACAATATATTATACAATTAAGAATAATTTTGAAAAATCTCACACGCATGGAGAATCGAACCCAGGACCCTTGGAATACGAACCGTGTACTCCGACCCCACATAGCTATGTTGAATTACAGATCTTTTAACTCATATTTCTTTCAAAAACGGATGTTATTTTAACTTTTGAATACTATACTTTATTAAAAATTTATAACTAATAAATTTTTCGACTAGTCAACATTCCAATTCTTATTTTTAAAAATAGATATTTCAATTCAAAATTTAAAAAATCATATGGATTGTAAACACTACCCGCACTGTTGTCCACTCTCCCCTATATGTATATATCCCTATATTGCAAAAAAAAACTGTGATTTTAACCTCAAACCAAGCTCTTCTTGACCTAATTTTAAGATTATGCTTTCAAGTTTGATAATATTTTGGTTCTGAACCAAACTGAACCTCAAAATTAGGTCAAAGTTCAGGGTCAAAATACCAACAAATCAAGAGGACGTTGGGTTTGGGATTAAAATCGTCAAACATAACCTCAAAATTAGGTCAATTTCTGGATCAAGAGAGCGAATATAACGTCAAAATTCAAGGTAAGATTTTAAGTTACATAACCTTAAAACTAGATCAAAATTAAAAACTAAAATACCATCATAACCTCAAAAATTCAAAATTGAGTTAAATTTAATTTAATATATAGGTATATCTCTATATTACAAAAAGATATCGCCGCTGCTGTTTTAAGACTCTGAATATAGCCGCAAGTCAAGAGAAGGGGGGTAGAAGAGAAGGGAGGGGGGGACTTGCAGCTATATTCAGAGTCTTGAAACGATCTTAACCTCTACATTTAGGGTGGGGGGAGGGGAAAAGGAGAGGAAGAGGGGAGGGGGGAATTTCGACACTACGCTGGAATTCGCTGTACTCGCCTACCATGCAATTTACGTACCATTCAGAATTTGTCTCGAAAATTTTAGAGAACGGGGGTTGGCGCGCGAAGCGCGCAGGGGGCGTAGCCCCCTAGTATATATATATATATATATATATAATTCTGCCGTGCAAAACTGAAAGACCGTAACTTCATATTTGAATTAGGTTATCTTAACCATTACATTTTCACTTCTATAAAAATAAAGAGATTAAAATTTCTATCAAATTTTGTTTTGTTACACTGAGAAAAAGGTTTAGTCAGAGCAACCAAAATTTGGAACTAACTATTCTCTTAAGCTATAAGCTGAGAGCGAATCAAATTATTAGGTTGTCGCAACCAAATTTTGGTTAGGATTACAAACGATCATTTGGTTTTTTAGACCAAACTATTTTGTTGTGTTAACCAAATTATTTTGTTATAGTAACTAAATTTTGGCTAGAATTTAAAAATGTTCAAACTAACCAAATGTTTGGTTAAAATAAAAAATAATTAAATGGCAGAAATATTTCGGCGCCAATTTTAAAATTGACCAATCACAATTTTCTTGACAGTTTCTGATTGGTCAATTTTAAAATTGGCGCCGAAATATTTCTGCCATTTGATTATTCGACCATTTGCAACGTAGGATAAATGAAAATTCTAAGTTTTAAGATTTCTATTAAATGACATTTTGTGTTAATAAAAATTCGGACAAATGAAGATTTGGTTTAATGAAAATTCTGGCATTTAAAAATTCAACTCAGTCGGAAATTCGTGTTAAGAAGAATTCTTTTGAATAAAAAGAGTGCTGAATGGAATTTATGTTGAAAAAATATTTTGTTAAATAAAAATTTGATTACTTAGAAATTTATAAAAATTAAAAATCAAATAATATTACTGCAATTCATCTGAAAAGAAAAAAAATTGTGCTTTGCAATACACCTTCTGAGTTAGAGTCTCAGCTTTTATAGTATTCAAGACTGATCTCAACTGTGAGAAAAAAAATTATCACCATCTGGCGGCGTAAGAGTGGAACTATGATGATCTACATCTATATTGCACGGAGAGAAAAATCTGCCTTTTATAGTATGAAATAGATTGCTGCTATTTTTCTTTAAACTTTTCATACTAATAGAGCAAAGATTTGAGAATTTTTAGGATAGTATTTGTCCGTACTAAAAAAGCATAGTATATATGCTTCTATAGTACGAAACATGTAGTTTAATAGCAACAACGCCATGCGAAGATCGCACATAACATCATCCTACTATGTTTGCATAAGTTCTATGCTTTTTCGGGGATAGACTCTTGCAACTGGCGATTAGGCCACGCCCACCTTTACTTAATTGGAACTGCCCTAATCGCCAGTTGCAAGAGTCTATCCCCGAAAAAGCATAGAACTTATGCAAACATAGTAGGATGATGTTATGTGCGATCTTCGCATGGCGCCGTTGGATTAAAAGTATAATAAGTATGTAATAAGAGGCTATATGACAAACTTTATTAGCATAGACAAGTTTCATGCTAAAAAGACATACGATTGTACTATAATTACTCAAATTTCATGTCTATATAGCATAGAAAATTTCTGTGCATTAAATGTAAACCTTTCTATACTATAAAAGGCAGATTTTTCTCTCCGTGTGGAATTTCCCATATAATTTCCTATATAATTTCCTACATATCATGTTAGAATTTATCATACAGGAATATATATAAAAATCCATGTAACATCTTATGTATGATCTTATATAGGATCATACATAAAATCCTATATAGGATCCTACATAGGATCTCATGTAAGAATTAATCATATAGGAATTTATGTGGGATGTCATGTGTGGATTTCACTGTTTTATTTGTCCATCTAAGATACAGATGTAGATCATCATAGTTCCACTCTTACGCCGCCAGATGGTGATAATTTTTTTTCTCACAGTTGAGATCAGTCTTGAATACTATAAAAGCTGAGACTCTAATTCAGAAGGTGTATTGCAAAGCACAATTTTTTTTCTTTTCAGATGAATTGCAGTAATATTATTTGATTTTTAATTAAATAATTTTTAATTTTTATAAATTGCCGTCTGCCAACTGAAAAATCCTATATTGTTTCCTTTATATAATTCTATGTGAAATCTTAGATATAGATATTTCAGATTCTACATGAAATCCTATATGATTTCTTATGTTCAAATCAATCATATATATGATCCCACGTGAGGATTTTTAATATGATTTCATGGCAGATTTTTTGTAATAATTTTTTATTCAAGAATCGAAAAAAGATTTGATATATGATTTGATATAGGAAAATTTCTGGTTAAGGATTGAGCAATGAATTTTAGTATGTTTTTTAATATGAGAAAACACGAAGGAAATTGACATAAGAAATTGAAGGAAAAAATGTGACCAGAAAAAATTGTAGGATTTCACATAGGAATTTACATAATTTATTACTTAAGAATACGTTTATAAAAATTTACATCGAATCCCACTTCAAATCATGTCTCAATTTCCTATATGATTTTTCATAAGATCCTTTATATAGTTTCTTACATGACACATAGGATTTTATGTGGATTTTAATATATAAATTTATGTGAGATCCTATATAAGATCCTACATGAGAATTTTCAGTAGCCTTAATTTAAATTCTATTAAACGTTAATTCGAAAAACACAAATTCCAATAAAATAAAATTCTATAAAATGAAATTTCTAAATGATTCACATTATATGGAATAATCACGAAGCTGAAGTACGAAACGTTTATAATAAACGATTTTTAAAGAAATAATTTTTTAAAATGAAAAATTCTATAATTTTTCACCTAAAAAATATTTCTTGTAGTTTTCATTAATCAACAAATTATAAAAAAATATTTTTTAGGCAAAAAATTATAGAATTTTTCATTTTAAAAAATTATTTCTTTAAAAATCGTTTATCATAAACGTTGCGTACTTCAGCTTCGTGAATAATCATGTGCCCCCTAAAAATTCGTCTCAAAAATAATTATGACAAATGAAATTCCATATATAATATGAATATTCTAACTATAATGATTTTTAGAACATAATCATATGCGTCTCTAATATATAGGAAATAAAATTGTAAAATTTGCGGGTACGCGCCTTATCTGAGAAAATAAATCGGCAAATAAAACGCGAAGCACGCACAATTACCGCGTGTGTAATGTCGAGGAACCCCTTTTATATTTAATAGTCGACTGACTGTGACGGTGATGATCGAGGGCCTCAATGGAAGAGGGAGTGAGAGAGAGATAGAACAGTCAAACAGAGAGTGACAAGTTGAGTCGTTGCTCGATCGTTGGATTGAGCTAGTGAGGGCTAAGAAGGGGGAGGGGGAGGCTTAAAAATAATAGATAGGAGGACGGGATAGGATATACCGTATATGTGGCCCCCCCGTATGTGTTGTACGTATATACGTTGTATGTTTCACTTTTCAGCTCCGCGCTATGGCTATTTTACTTTGTCCGCATATAGAGTTATTGTAATAGTTATAGATTCAGATATATGACAAATCCCACAGATCACAAAGAATGAGAATATAAATAATATAGAAAATAGAATGGAATAAAAAAAAATAAAGGGGGGCAGCTGACATTTTATTTTAACAAAGAGGAAGCAAAAGGGAAATAAAATAAGAAAAAAAAGAAAAAGAAGAAGAAGAATAGCAAATGGAGAAACAGAAAGAGAAAATTAAATAAATCAAGAGGTGAGGGCGGGGGAGAATAAAAGGAATTAAATAGAACAATCAAATCGAGATTGAGGGTTTAAGAGATTGAAGGAGACAGAAGGCAAAATAAAATGGTCAGCAATGGCCTTTTTGTATGTGATAAAGATTAAAAAAAAGAGATGCGGGAAGTAGCGCGAAGAAAATAACAAAAACAGGGAATAAAGAGAATATAGAGAGAGGGAAAATAAAATATTTCTTTTTTTCTCACATTGTTTCGTTGTTCATCTTCTTTTTCTTCTTTAAATAACAAAAAATACTCTCTAAATTTCAATTTGGTGAGAATTTGTTCACTAATTTTGTGAATTGTGATTTTTAGTTATTTTCATTAAAAATTTTAGTAAATTAGTATAATTTATTAAAAATTAGTGATAATTTCTAATTTAAAATAGTAAACGAATTCTCACTATAATTCAAAATTTAGATAATAATTTAAATTAAAAAAAAATTAATGAAGAAAAAGCGGAAGAAGAAGCAAGAGAAAAAAATTGTAGAAAAAATTTAATAAAAAATAATAAAAGAAACGAAACAATATTAATAACATCGATATAAATAAGAAATGAAGACCAAAAAACCGGAGAAACAAATAAATTATAAATAAATAAAATATAGAAATTATAGAAGAAAATAGAAAATAAAAATGAAACGTAGAAAAAACATCGGTGGAAATATTTTTAAATAATTTTAATAAAAAAAAAGTTTTTCAATATACTCTTTTTTTTTAGTACAAATGGAAGTTTTTATCATGAATGTTTGAATAAATAAAGTCTAAAAAAAAATTTTAACGTAAAAAGAAAAAAAACGAAATATAATTAAAAAAAATACAAGAAATCAGCCTCGGGAAATTATATCTCAAGAGAATGAGATTTTCCGAGATTAATATATTTCATAAAAGAAAAGTGAGGAATTAATTTAAATCTCGATTTAAATAAACTTAGATATTTAAAAAGGAGAGAAAAATAAAAGATATAAGCCATCAAAGACTTTGAACTGAACAAAAAAAATTAGATATATACATATATATTTATGCGTATACCAGTATTTAAAGAAAAAAAAAAAAAAACGAATTCTAAGCGCAATAAACGAGAAAGACTTTTTTCTCAAACAAAGTAAAATTGTTGGGGAAAGTGTATGACAAAGATTAAAAAGAGAAGACAGATATACACATAACAAAAGAAGAAAAGAGTAAAGTAAAAGACCCGAAACTCATACGCGTAGAAATTTATATACAAAGTATATATATATGAAAGCAAAAAAAAAAAAAAAATAAACGAAAGAAAAAAAAATAAATCCCGGTAAAAATTAAAAAAGAGCTTTTAACTCAAATACACATTCCCTGTGCAAAAAAAAAAAAGAAAAAAAAAAGTGGGTGGTAAAGGTGGTTGTTGCTGGGACTGGACAGAAATCTTTTGAAAAGAGAAACGAGTGGGGTACGAGAATGAGAGAGAGAGAGAGAATATCGAATCATTTGGTGAGTGAGATTGTGCGCTTTTCCGACGACCAATTTCTCTCTTGTATACAGGGTTGCGCAGTTACATGTAACTCAGAGTTTTCGTCGTAATATACGTCAAAAACGTAATATACGTAAAAAATGTAAAAAACGTAAAAAACTTATCCAAGATGGCGGATGTAATATAAACATTATAACCTTACTTTTTTATGAAAATTGATGTCAGTAAATGTGTTTCTTATTATTTATTAATATGAATAATTTAACAAAAAGAAGTGTAAAAGGAGGACAAATTCCATGGCAAGAGTTAAACTTTGAACGACAGAAAGTTGGGACAAAAGCTGTCTCTAAATGCTTAATTTGTTTCCAAATTTTTCAAAATACCAGCTACGATCGTCTCCTGACACACCGGTATGTCTTTATTTTACTTTATATCCTTTAATATATATTTCAAGTGTTGCCGAAAATTTTAATTAGCAAATCTAAAAAAATTTTTTTTTTTGTAGAAACGTTTGTAAAGGAAAAAAGGCTTCAAACAACGATGATGATAATAACAAAGTTGCTAACGAAAATCAGGACAGTTCAGAAGTACCATTCAAAAGACGTAAAGTAAGTATGTCCCCTTTAATTAATTACTATAATAATTAATTATTTTTTAGAAATATAATTGTTTTATATATTTATCATACAATAAATAACAATAAGGGTTTAAATATGGATAATTTCTAAATACTCCAATTCATAATGTCTATATATTTAGTTTGATTTTAAATTTTTTACTTTTTGTTAATTTTATCAAAGTAAAGTATTTTTATTTTCAGGGAAATTGTGATTCTGATATTGATAGTACTCCATCATGTTCATCTAGTACTTTATCAGAACTGGATGAACTATTAGCAACGTTTTTTGTAGGATGCAATGTACCATTCTCCGTTGTAGAATCAACATTTTTTCGTAACTTTGTAAAAAAATTGAACCCCGATTATAGACCGCCGTGTAGAAATACGTTAAGTAACACAATTTTAGATAAATTATATGTAAAAGTGCGAAAAGAAAATTCTCTCTCTGTCAGCGATTCCAGTGTACTTATTTTAGATGGCTGGAAAAATAAATCAAAAAACGAAAAATATGTAGCAAGCATACTACATAATGCTACTGGAGAACGAGTATTCTTAGACAGCTGGGATTTCACTCAAGAAAGGGAAACTGGTGTGGCTTTAAAATGGGTTGTAGAAGAAGCTACTAAACAAGCTAAAGAAAATTATCAAACAGATATTTATGCTGTTGTATCAGATAATGCCTCTAATATGACGTTGATGGGCAAATTAATAGACCAGTGGTTTATTACATGCAATAGCCACAGCGGCAACTTATTGGCTAAAGCTTTAATAGACGATTCTTTTAGTAAAAAAGCCATTCCAACTTTAAAAGAATTTAAATCGCCTGCATTAGAAAAAGAAATTGTTAAACGAGGTGGAATAAAAATTTGTCTCCCTGGAGAAACACGCTGGTGCAGTTATCGTGACAGTTTGCGTTGCTTCCTTCGAAATTTAGTAATAATGCGAGCCATTGTTCAAGAAAAACAATTTCAAATTTCAAAGGAATCAATCACTTTAATTTTAGACGGCGAATTCGAACAAGAATTGTTAAAATTTATTATAATTTTTGACGTGGTATGCACTTTAATAAATAAATTACAAAGCGATAAAAGTAATATAGCAGATGCTATAGAACATTGGCTGTCTCTAAAATTTCCTATTTGCGAGGACAAATATGAATTGTTACTTAAAGCTCGCCTAGGAAAGGTAATTAGACCAATCGGTTTAGCTGCAAATATTCTACACCCTGTTTACAGAGGTAACATTTTTGCTCAAAATGCTGAATACGAGGGCATGGCGAATAATTTCTTGAAAGAAAACTTAAAAGACGGTGGATTGAAAGATTTAAAATCGTATCTAAATAATACAGGGATTTTTGAATCTTTAAATAAAAAGAGTTTAAAAAATCCGCAAACTTTTTGGGATTTGGCACAAGACGATCATCCTGAATTAGCTAAATTTAGTAAAAAATTACTAAATATACCAAGTTCCTCTGCCGCATTAGAAAGATTATTTTCTCAGTGGTCTTATGTTCATAATAAATTAAGAAATAGGTTAAATATTGAAACATCAAAAAAATTAATCTACCTTTATTATACGTTTAGAATAAATGATCATCAAGACAATTATGATGATTATTAATTATTTATTCTGATGAACTTCCACAGTTTGTATTATAAAATAAATATTCTTTTGCGCATACAGTTTCTAATTTGTTTGTTGTACTTAAACCTATTAGTTACACTAATAACATTTTATATCTTAAAATACAAATATCTTTGGTTTCAAACGTTAGGAACACAAAAATAAAACTGATATAAATGTAAAGTTTGAAACAACAATTTTTTTGTTTAATGAGAAGTAAACTTTTTAATTCTACTCGTTCGATAAAATACTGATTCGAAAAATAACATTTTGGATTAATTTATAATATAAAAATGAAAAACAATAACACTTATTTAGTATTTTACTTTTTCATCTCTTGGATCTTTAAATTATAGTATAAGTTAACAATCTTGTCTGATTGCTCATTCGGTAAATTCTTTTTTTCAAGAAAATGACCGTTTATTTTAATAGAGGAGGCTGGTATCGATGATATTTTAAGAGCTAATTTTGATAAATTTGGAGCTTCTTCTTCTACAAGTTGCCAAAACAGTACAGGTGATTTAATATTTTTTTTAAATAGTTTTGCAAAAATTCCTTTTTTACTCACATAATCTGTGAAATCGCTCAGACCCTCTTCTTCAAGATTATCAAATAAAAAGTCCTTTGCCATCTTCATTTCTGTGGGGCTAAAACTTTTACCGTTATGAATAGGATGCAATAAATTAGCGGTTATAGACACTGGTTGCTTTAAAGAATTTATGTGCAATTCTATTTCTGATCGAAGTTTCTCTGGAGCGCATTTCAGTAGATCTAACCAGCTTTGTATAGCATCCCCGATTAAAACGGTACTTTTCTCAAAATTGTCAATTATTTCAATTAATGACATATACATGTTTTTAAGCTCTTCAATTTGTTTATTAAACGATTCATCAAAAACGAGTGTTGTGCTTTTTTGATTGAGTTTTATACTTCCTTCTGCAACTTTTTGTTTTAGCGTCGTTAAGTTGTTTAAATAAGTCGAATAAGTATGTAAATGGTTTCTCCATACTTCGTTGCTTTGTGCAGAAATGCTTTCATCAATAATTTCTTTATCGAGTTCAATAACACCACGTTTCTGAAAAGTAGTTACAATTGTCTGAACACTATAGCAAACTGAATGATTTGCTAAAGAGGTTGCTATTAAATTCGCAATTTTAATATTGCATGGTGTAATCCACTTGTCGAAAGTAAAAGAATCTAGAAGTGATATTTCTTCTGTAACAATGGCGAATACGTTTCCAGAAAATTTGTTTCTGGTCAATTCCATAGCTTCATTTACAATCTCTCGAAACTCTGTTTCCCTTTCTTCTAATGAAAGGGAAAATATTTTCAAAAAATGTAAGTGTTCTTCATCTGCAGCCCGAATCATAGCTAATATGCTGACTTTCTCTAAATATATCGTTTGATTTAGAAACAAAATTATAGGCTTCGTACCAAATTCTACATTAATATCATTTCTTGTATTTTCAAACATATCATAAGTGTTTTGTAGAAGCTTTGAAGCTACGTATCCAGAATCGGGCGGGATGTAAGCTGGTCGTAAGAGTTTAATGAATTCTTTAAAATATTTCGAATCTACAATATCAAAGTCAATATTACAAGAGAAAATTAAATTTGCAAGCGCTTGATCAATTAACTCTCTTTTTTTTTCTGAAATTTTGTCAAGAAATGATTGCATTGATCTTTGAAGTTTTTTTGGTACGATTTTCAAATGGCTATTTGAAAAAGTTGTAGAAGAAGCAACAGATGGATTTTTTTTACTGATTTCACCATTGCTTACATTCGATAGCAGAATTGGATGGATAATCTGAAATGAGAATTATTGAAAATTTATTTAACCTACATTATGAGACAGTAAGTCAGAATTATATTTTCTATTTTTTTAAATAGCATATTTAATTATAGAGTCTTACATTATTATTATCTGGCAATATTTCTTCTGAAATATCAATTGACACATTTGTATCACGGCTCAAATTGGATTTATTTAACGATAAACTAGTATCCACTTCCATATTAAATAAACCGTCCTCAACAGTCAGAATTTTCTCAATACCACATTTTTTCCTAAAAAAATATTAGTTTATTATTTATAGGGATTGAATATTCAATGTAACTTTCAACAAGTAATAACTAATCTTTAGTATATCAAATTTACCTGTGATTCTTTAACCTTTCTTCTGCGGTATTGGTTAGAATGCGGTTACAGCCTGGACAAAAGGCAACATTTTTTCCATTTTGTTTTCTTAAAACAAAACAGAAATCTTCCCAAACACTATTTCTTGGTCGCCCGCCTCTATTCATTATTATAAAATTAAAGTTAAGTCAGTCAGATATTTTTGGGACAAATTATAGTTATAAAAATACTAGAGGTTATGTTATGATGTTTATATTCGATAAGAATCGACGCCATCTTGAAATGGTAAGTTACATTTTGTAAGAAACTCGAGACGTAACATACGTACGTATGATACGTCAAAAACCTCACGTAATATACGCAATGTAATATACTTGCGCATCCCTGCTTGTATATACACACACTTGAAGAATGATTTTGCTCAGACGCGCTTGCCAGAAGAAGTACTGACGGCAGTGGTAGCAGAAGCAAAGGAGACCGGATGTAGGTTGGTGCAGTGATTCCACTGATTCGTTTCAAGAGTGCCCGTGGCTTCCAGCGAACTTCCGAGTGCCGTGTTCGTTGTAGGCCTGTAACTCCCGCGTGTGCTGCAAGCCATCCTCTTTTGTCACTTACAATCGTGATTGATATATACATATAATTTTTTTTTTTTTTTTACAAATTTTTTCCACAATTGTTTCTTTTTTTTTTTAAATAATATTTTGTGCGAGTCAAAAAAAAAACTATATTTCGGAAAAAAGTTTGTTTATTCTCATACGCGCAAAGAGAGCGACAATTTCCGGAAAATGATTTTTCGCCTTCCGGATTTAACAGTTACAACATAAACAAAATACAAACAAAAGGATAATTTTGGGGTGAGCTTAGATTATTTTCATTTTTTTTTTTTTAAATAAAAACAAAAATTAAAAAAATAAATTTAAATAAATTTAAAAAAAATTAATTTAAACAAATTTAAAATAATTTTTTTTTTATTTATGAAAATTTGTCCAGTGTTTTCTAAATCTGAATTAGTAAAAATGTTTACTAATTTGAATTAGTACCTTACTTTTTGCTTCTGAATTAGTTAAATTTTACTAATTGTTAGTAAATGTTACTAATAATTAGTTAATTATTAGTTAAATTTTACTAATTGTTAGTAAAAGTTACTAATAAACTAATTCAGAAGCAAAAAGTGAGTCACTAATTCAAATTAGTAAATATTTTTACTAATTCAGATTTAGAGAGTGTAAAAAATAAAATAATAAAATTTTCATTTTATATATGAACAAAAAAAAAAAAAAAAAAATTATTTAATAGAGAAAAAAGTTTTTGTGTCAAAATACTCTGTTGGTGAATGTGACCAAAAAAATTAATATAGATGTGTAATAATTTTATGATTAAACGTCTAGTGAAAAAATATATTTCTAAAAAATAAAATAAATCTTATTTGTTTCAAAATAAATAATTGATAAATATAGTTTATATTTTATCATAACAAATAATAGTATTTGTTAATTATTTTTTTTTCCAAAGATATGTAAATATTTGTTTTATTTAATAAGTCATATTTTGAAAAAATAAATATTAAAAAAAATTTTAATTATAAGTCGACATGAAAATAGACATTATAAGATTAATTTAATATTTGTTAATAATAATAATAATAATAATAATAGTATTTATTACAAGTAAAATTTTATTTGGCGTAAGTTGAATTATTATTATTATTATTATTTATTATTATTATTATTATTTCCTATAAAAATTTAATTATTTATTAAGAAACTTAATTTAAGACTTAATTTTAATCCTTAAATGACTCATCTTTGAAGAATTATGTACATATACTTGCTACACTAAGGTCCATTAGACCTTAACGAAAATTGTTATAAAATAAAAACTATTGATTATTTTTACTTCACAATTTTTTTTTAGAACTTTATTATTAAGTACAAGAAAAAATTTCTCTGAGTGTATATTATATTTTTTTTAAATAAAATTTAAATAAAATAAAGTGTAAATAAATAAAAACGGCACTTTTTGAAAATATTAGAAGTATACTGAAATAAAAATAAAAGGAAAGGTGATAAAAAATATAATATAATGAAATAATCCAATTATTATTATGAATTAATAATAAATTAATAATACCTAAATTAATAATAATAATAATAATAGTAAAAATAATAATAATAATAATAATAATAATAATAATAATAATTGCAAAAAAATTACGAGATTTAAACAGCAGTGAAAAGTTTATTGGAAAAGCACAAAAATTTATAATTTAATTAGAGACACATGTTATAATATTGTACTTTATACATTTTTTAAACAAGACAAAAAAATTTTTAATTCTTGTTATAGGCCCAAAAAAATGTAATTTAAATAATTGTAATAATCGGAAATAAATAAATAATAGTAATAGAAATTTTAATTGTTTTAGTAAAAGTAATAATAATAATAAATAATAATTTATAACCAAAATAAAAAAAATAGTAGACTGAAAAAAATTTATTTTATTCAAATAATCAGATACTTGACTATATATTATCAAATAAATATTTACTTGAACTAAATAATTTTTATTTGAATTAAATAAATTATATTTTGAACCAATAATTTATTTGAAACAAAATATTATTTAATTGATTTAATAAATATTTAATACAAATAAATATTTATTTGATTAATAGCCAAATAAACGATTATTTAAATTATAAATAATTTTTTTTTTTTCATTGTAATGAAATAAAATATTGAATTTTATTATATGAAATCGAGTATGAAATTTAGTTTAATTACTTTTTAATTGATTTAAACAATCAAATAATCAATTTTTTTGAAAATGAATATTTAAATTTTTTCAAACTGTTTAGATTTTGTTGAAAGAAACAGATTTTTTGTAATTTTTTTTTTTTTTTTACATAAACAATTTCTTCATTTTAAATTGAAAATATAATTAATGCATTATAAGTATATGTTATAGTATATATAAAAAATAAAAATTTATTTATTTGTAAAATTTAATTTTGCGAGAATTTCTCGTGGTTCAAGCCAGAGATATACCTCTTTAACTCGAACTGATACCTCTTGAACTAAATAGAATTTCCTCTCATCAGAGCTCAGTATTTAGTATCACCTCTTCCTTTTTGTTTCAAAGAGGGCTTTTGCATTGATTTTTTTTTTTTTTTTAATATATAAAGACATATAGAGAAAAGAAGAAAAATTATAACGATGATAATGATGAGAAGACAATAGGTCGAAAACGAGTCGCGACTGTGAAGAAGTGTGTTACAGATGGCGTAAACAAGATGTGCTTCGAGGGCGAAGGCGTGCGAAATGAGATGACATTGTTTGCACTCGTGACGTCACTAGTAATTGTAACTAACAATGAGAGAAGCACATGAGTGCGTACGTACTCACTTTGCAAACTCACCTAATATGCATTTCAACCTATATATATATATATATATTCAGAGAAAAGTTTTTTTTTTAACCAAATATACCACTTTTTTGGATTAACACAATTATTTGGTTATTTCAAACAAAATTTGTTTTGTTCAAATAAATACTTTTTTGATATAAATAAACATTTACTCTCTAAATCTAAATTAGTAAAAATGTTTACTAATTTGAATTTGTGACTCGCTTTTTGCTTCTGAATTAGTTAAATTTTACTAATTGTTAGTAAAAGTTACTAATAATTAGTAAAATTTACTAATTTGAATTAGTGACTCACTTTTTGTTTCTGAATTAGTTAAATTTTACTAATTGTTAGTAACTTTTACTAACAATTAGTAAAATTTAACTAATTCAGAAGCAAAAAGCGAGTCACTAATTCAAATTAGTAAACATTTTTACTAATTCAGAAACAAAAAGTGAGTCACTAATTCAAATTAGTAAATTTTACTAATTATTAGTAACTTTTACTAACAATTAGTAAAATTTAACTAATTCAGAAGCAAAAAGCGAGTCACTAATTCAAATTAGTAAACATTTTTACTAATTCAGAAACAAAAAGTGAGTCACTAATTCAAATTAGTAAATTTTACTAATTATTAGTAACTTTTACTAACAATTAGTAAAATTTAACTAATTCAGAAGCAAAAAGCGAGTCACTAATTCAAATTAGTAAACATTTTTACTAATTCAGAAACAAAAAGTGAGTCACAAATTCAAATTAGTAAACATTTTTACTAATTCAGATTTAGAGAGTACTAATTCTTATTAAAAGTTACTAATAATTAGTAAAATTTAACTAATTCAGAAGCAAAAAGTGAGTCACTAATTCAAATTAGTAAATACATTTTTACTAATTCAGATTTAGAGAGTGGTTTAATTTAATAAATTTGAAAAAACGAAGAAAGAATATATGATTGAGCCAAAAAAAAAACTTTTTGTTGATTCAACCAAAAATTCGATTAATTGTATAGTAGAATATTTATTTGGTTGATTCAAAAAAAATTTGGTCGTTTCAAAGAAATTTTTGAGAATATAATATTTTTGACTCGATTTAAAAATATATTCAATGGATTTTATTCTTAGAGTTAGAATAATATAATATTGTTAAAAAAAAGAAAAAAATAATTGTTAAATTAAGATATATTCTTATTTTAAGAATAATCTAACTGTAAGAATAAAATGCATAGATTATAATTATATTTTTAAATTTTTTATTTAAATTTTAAATAAATTATAAGTTTTAAATAATAATTTTAAAAAATTTTAACCTTTCATTATTACACTGAAAAAAAATAGCATTGAATCAAGAAAACCTATGTACTTGACTGTATTTTATACCAATATTTTCTTGATCCAAGAAATTTTTATTAGTTTGAAGTAAATTTTCTTGGATTAAGAAAATATTGGTATAAAATACGGTCAAGTACATAGGTTTTCTTGATTCAATACTATTTTTTTTCAGTGTAGTTTTTTTTTTATAATATACACCAAAAAAAAAAGGTTTAGCAAAATAAATATTTATTTGTTTCGAATAAATTTTATATGGTTTAAACAAATTTTATTTATTTGATTCAAATAAAAATGTTTATTTATATTATTTTGAATAAAATTTTGTTTATGCCAAACAAAATATTTTTACTTTAAATAAATAAATAATTAATGAGCATTTAAATTAATTCAATTCAAATGACAATCAGAGGAAAGTTATATTTGTCTTAGAGCCAAATAAATATTTATTTGTTTTAAATAAATTTTATTTGATTATATAAAAATTTTCATTGGTGCTAAATTAAATTAAAAAAAAAAAAATAAATAAATAAAAATTTATTAGGATGTGAGATTAATATATTTTTATTTCATATAAATAAATTTTATTTGTACCAAATAAAAAAAAATTTATTTGATTCAAATAATTTTTTCGGTGTATTCGGTTTGAAATAAAAAAAATTTCTCTGGGGTGTAATAGTATAAAAATATTTTTAATAATAATAATAATAATAATAATAATAATATTAATTATTATTATTATTATAGTTTTAGATTATTTATTAAAAAATGAAAATAATAAAATGTAATTAAAATCTTATTAATTGAAAGTCAATTTCATATAGAATTAATTCCCAAGCTGTTAAATAAATTGATTGCTCGAAAGTAATATTTTCTTCCATTTTGTGATTATAAATTACTGATAAACGATTAAAAATGAAATAAGATTTCTTCTATCCTTGAGCGTAGTAGTATTATTATTTAATAAAATTTGGTTTCATTTTCTCGATACTCGTCACTCGATTTCCAACTACTTTATCGAAATGGAGTTAAAATTCATTACCGGTGTATTTTAATTATTTATTCATCTTGAGATTTATCGGAGAGGTTTATTAATTACCTAGTCAGACACTCTGTGACGTCAGTAAATTGCAAATACAGTATTTGAAAAAAAAAATATATATAAAATATTCGTTAGAAAACAAATTTTTTATTTTTGCATAAAAAAAGATTTATTTTTTTTCTAAATAATGGAAATTTCCTAACATAACTTAATTTTTCATTTTCAAATATATTTTTATGTAAATAATTTTGTTTTTTTTGACGGCTAAAAATATTAAAATATTAAAATAATAATAATAATAATTAACTTTAGGAACCAAATTTTATTTTTAATATAATTATAATAAAAATATAATAATACATACATATCGTGGAATATAAATTGCCAAAATAAATATAAAAATAAATTTACTTTTCAATATCTTATTACATTTATTTTTATTTAATGCGATACTATTTAATTAGTAGTTTATCAGATGCTTTTGATAGAAATACTGCATTTATTTATATCCAATGTAGTAATTAAATTTTATTCGCTTTTACGAGAGAGATCAAACTTCTAATCATTCGAACCAAAACAAAAAAAAAAAAAATGTTATAATTATATAACTTACAAGAAAATTGTCTTTTTTATTTTTATAGAATTTATTATTTTAATTCATTTTATATGATATATTTTTTTTATTTTGCGAAACTGTTGAGATTTTAACTTCACAAAGAAATAATGTAATTAATATTATATTTTGATTTTTGAAAAAAAATTTTAACTTCTTATTTTTATTTATCTTTTTATCCATTCAAAAGTGTATAAATAAATTAAAAAATTTTTTTTTTTTAATTTAAAATCTTTACGATAAGAATTAGATTTTGTTCTCATCGCATTTATATTTGTTACTTTGATAAGTTCCTATAAAAAAAAATGTCTGTATTTAATTATATTTGTACAAACAATAAATGTAACAAATTTTTCAATTATAAACGATAAATTCAATATTCATTTGAAATATTTGACTTACTCTTTAAAAATCATTATAATTCGTTTACATTTATACGATAACATTTACATAATTATAGCTTAAGTGCTCTCAAACGATGCGTGGCTTTAATAAAAAAAAAAAAGAAAAAAAAAATGATTGAAATATTCTTATCTCGTCCCATCTTCTTGTTCAAGTGTTTTGCATTAAGTATACATACAATTTTCACACTTCTTTTTAAACTCTTAGGAAAATTACGCATTTCAGCGATAACATTGTTTTTTCACTATCAGAATATTAAGTTTTACGGAAAATACATTAACTTTAAAAGAACTTTTTACTTTTTTTAATTTTTGTAGTGAAATATTCTAATATTGGAAAATAATGTTATCTATATGTATATGGGTTTGAATAAGAAAAAAATACAGTGTATTTTTTAAAATAAACTTTTGAAATTAGTTTTAAGTGTGTGTTTATATATATAGGTGACAAAAATGAGGTGAAATTTAATTTGAGTATAAAAAGAAGTTTTAAAACATATTAAATTGTAATTTAATATAAAAAAACATTTTTTTGTTACTATTATTTGTTATTTTTATTTATCATTTTTGATTTTTTTTTTATATATTTCTTACGTTCTGAGCTTAAATATAATTACATTCTGTTATAGTGTGTGTAAAATATATTCGTTATCTAGTTTTTTTAAAAACAATTAGAATAGTCATTAATTTTAAAACAAAGAATTTTTTTTCCAAATTATCTTATTTTGAAATTTATTAATAAAACGGAATTGTATAAATGTTCTTAGATTATTGATTGTGACTATAGATTTACAAATTTTTTTTTCTTATTCGTTATTACTATTTATTTTCACAGTCTTCCTAAAAGTATCAAATTGAGACCAAAAATTGCATCAAATCTTAGCAACGTTTTGATGCACATAAGTTATATCAAAAAGAGATCGTTTTGTGTATCTTTTTTAGAAATGATACACGAAACGGTCTCATTTTTTGATGCAAAAAATTTAATCAATTTATATCAATCATGGCCGAATTGAATCGACTCAAAATTAAACGAATTTTTTTCAGATATTTTGGTAATAGTACAATTGCGGAGACCATTTCACTATTTAATTTGAAAATGAAAATAACAGAAAATCAAAGACAATGTGCAATTCGATAATTAAAAAGTGACAGCTTATAAACATAACCTAAAATGCATGAGAAAAAATTTGTCGATAAAATCAATATAGCCGAGCTTTTTAGAAGGTAGATGGCAGCACTTATCTATTTTCTTTCTTTAAATTTTTTCTGAATCGTTTTTATAAAAAGCAAAACTGCCATCTACCTTCTAAAAAGCTCGGCTATATTGATTTTATCGACAAATTTTTTCTCATGCATTTTAGGTTATGTTTATAAGCTGTCACTTTTTAATTATCGAATTCCACATTGTCTTTGATTTTCTGTTATTTTCATTTTCAAATTAAATAGTGAAATGGTCTCCGCAATTGTACTATTACCAAAATATCTGAAAAAAATTCGTTTAATTTTGAGTCGATTCAATTCGGCCATGATTGATATAAATTGATTAAATTTTTTGCATCAAAAAATGAGACCGTTTCGAGTATCATTTCTAAAAATGATACACAAAACGATTTCTTTTTGATATAACTTATGTGCATCAAAACGTTGCAATAGAAAAAGATACAACCAAGTTTACTGTGTTACATAAAATTACGTAGTATAAATAGAAATCAAAAATATTTTTAAAAAATTCAAAATTTAATAATTTTTGAAAAATTCCGAAAATATTGTATAAAAATCGTTTGCCCATTATTGGCCTAGGCTTAAAAGTTTTGTAAAAAGAAGTAGTTTTTTTGAAAAAATTTTGAAAAAAATCGATCAGTACGTCAAATGCGAAAAATGACTTTTTATCACTACCTAAAACTCAAAAATTTGATAGTAATATCATTTGAAAAAAATTTTTAGATTTTTTTTTGAAAAGTACGTTTAAAAACACACATTTTGAAAATTTTTTTTTGAAAATTGATGCATTTTTAGGGAAGTTATGAGCATTCAAAAATTAAAAGTCATGAAAATTCTCTAATTTTCAAAATTTTCATAACTCGAAAACAGCTTGCTAAAAAAATTTGAAAAAATTCATGAAAACTAGTCTCAATTAGTACTAATAGAAAAAAAATCTCAAAAATATCGGAGATGCAATTGCAGATAGACTTACACTTTGGCATGGAATACATCATAAATTTATATTAATCAATTATTTATACCTGAAAATTTAATTCAATATTATTCTTTCTATACATTAAGAAAAATGTTTAGTCAGAGAAACCAAAATTTGGTTGGGCCAACAAAAAAAATTTTGTTGGTATTTAAGCAATCAAACTATTTGTTTGTGTCAACCAAATTTTTTGGTTGAGTGTTTTTTTTTGGCATAAAAAAAGGTTTAACCAAATTTTTTTTGTTAGGTCAACAAAAATGTTTGGTTGATCAAACAAACAGTTTTTTTTTGTAAAATTAAAAATTTTATTCTACCTCATTTCTTTTCTTTTTATCTTTTTTTATTTATTTCATTATTTATTTATTGTCAATTTAACATTGAATTTATATTTATTCAATTGAAATATTTGTGTACTTTGAAAAATCTCATCTCCGCCTGGGATCGAACCTCTGTTTTTAAACTGAAGGTCGGGAGCACTGACCCCTGGACTACCCATCTTTGTGAGGGATTTAAACTAACTGTTCTCTTAAGCTATGCGCTGAGAGCGAATCAAATTATTTGGTTGTCGCAACCAAATTTTGGTTAGGACAACAAACGATCATTTGGTTTTTTAGACCAAACTATTTTGTTGTGTTAACCAAATTATTTTATTTTCGTAACCAAATTTTAGTTGGAATTTAAAAATACTCAATCAAATAATTTTGTTGGCCTAATCAAATGTTTGGCTGAGATAACTCTACGACTTTGTTTCAGTCAACCAAAAAATTTGGTTACAAGAACAAACACTAAATTTTTTTTCTCAGTGTATCATAAATTTTTTTGAATAATTTTATTAATATAAAAATATAGATTTGAAAGTGTTTCTTTATTGGAAGCATCTAAAATTTCTAGAAAAGTGACCGATATGGACGGTTTATCTAAAAAAATATATTATATTTTATACTCTCTAAATTTAAATTAATAAAAAGCGAAATACTAATTTAAATTAGTAAGAATTTTCACTAATTTTTAGTCACTTTTTACTAAAAATTTAGTAAAAAAAAATTTTAAACTACTAAATCAAATAGTAATATTTTACTGAAACTTAATAAAAATTCTTACTAATGTGAATTAGTAGCTCACCTTTTCACTAATTCAAGTTTCACTAATTCAACTAAACACTGTTAATGTTGTTAAACTTTAAAAAATTGATTTTAATTAAAAATTTTTTTTTTTCTTTTTACAGAAAAAAGACAAGCCAATCAACGGCGAAAATCAGAAAAATGTTGGAACCAACAAAACAAGTGGAAGTCTTCACCGGAAATGGTTGATTCATTACAAAAAGAAAAAAATGGCACAGTGGGAAATGTGATAATTTGAAAAAAAACAATAAAAATTCAATATCGACAATTTTTTTTTTTTTTATTAACATGATGGATAAATTTCCATAATAGAAATCTCAACAAACAAAAAAAAAAAAAAAAAAAAAAAAAAAAACAATTCTCAAAATCTCAAGATATTAAATGTAAAAAGGAAAAGGTCAAGAGAAAAATCAATGAATAATCCACGATGATGTTAATTTATTCACTACAACGATAAATGTGATTGTTTTATAGTGACGCAAATCGCGCGCGCTGAGTTGTGTAGTGTTGTGCGAGGGAGTTCGCGCGATGAAATGTGAATCGCGAGGTGATGCGGAGGATATTAATTTTACCGGTGCCTCGTGCAAATGCACAATAATAATTCAGCTGGTAATTATTTTACTAAAAGCAAAAAAAAAAGTAATTAGATTATATTAGTAATCATTATATTATATATAATAAGCATTCCAAGTGCAGTAGAAAAAAAACAAAATTTATCATCATCAAGTCAATTTGTATTTCATTTATATAATAAAATTATAGAAGAAAGAAATTCTGTCAAATCTTTGGATTCCATTTATTCCAAGCACTGAGTAATTTTATTCATTCATATATATAAATATATATATAATTTAGTGTAATAATGATTCACTGCTAGTGAATAGAGTAATAAACATTTATAGTGTAATTCATATCTTAACAATTTAGAAAAGTTGACTATAATCGAATTAATAAAAATCTAATGAAATTGACTTAGAAAAGAAAAACGTAATTTTTAAATTCAATACTAATGGATTTAATAAATAGATTTAGTAAAATTACAATATAAATTAAAGTATAATACATAAAATTATACTTGCATAAAAATGAAATGAAATTAATAAAATGATGACATTGATATATGGAATCAATATGGAATCGATGGAATTTTTTTTGATGTATTTTTCAAAAATTGAATGAATATTAGTAGTGTTAAAAAAAAAATAAATGTCGATTTAATTATTGATTTAGTGAATTAATTGAAAGTGAAGTGCTAGATTTTTGGTGCTGATGAAAGAAAGTGTTATAGGATATAGGGTAAAGGGCAATTGTGTCCTCAAGAATGAGTAAAGGACATGCCGAGTGATTCGAGAAGGATCACGCTTGTTTTACAAGAATTCTCATCCCCCTTGAGGACTTGGATCGGTCAGTGTAAGCTCCTCTTTTTTCTGAAAAAAGATGAGCTCCATAGATTTCGACGAGGTGCTGTTACACGTGGGCGAGAAAGGAAGATATCAAAATATTATGTACTATCTACTCTGCATACCAGCCACTTTGCCAGCTGCATTTTTGGCTTTCTCGCAAGTACGATTCATTTTATATTATTTAAAAAGCAAAACAAAAAATCATTTTAATAAGGGAGTATAATCAGGGTTAACTTTTCTCTACACCGAAAAAAAAAATATTCTTGTATTCAGAGGAAAATTCCTCTTAGGGGCCGTCCATATATCTATTTTTAAAAAATTATTTAACTTCTTAAACATGGTTTATTATTTAAAAATTGATGATTAAAAAAAATTAATTTTAAAACTTTTCATTATTAAAAAAATATTAATAATAAATTTAGTTTATAATAATAATATTATTGTTTATTGTTAATATCAATATTATTAATAATAAAAAATTAATTTTATTATTATTATAATTATTATTTAAAATAAATAATAAAATTAATATTAATAACAAAAATACAGTAAATTTTAAATTTTATCAAATTGGTAATTTAATAAATAGAAATAAAATTTCAATAATTAATATTTTTTTAATAAATTGAGTTGTTTTTTCATTTTTTTAAAAAATTTAAATTCACTCGCCATTTAGGTTGGCAACCATGTGTCAACCAATGAGATCACTTGCACCTCTCAAGAGGACACAAAACTTATTTCCCCTCAGTTGGTCGATTAGGTTAGTGGTTAGGGTTTGAATTTCTGCGCGGCGAACCCGGGTTCAATTCCCAGTCCCTCCAAATTTATTTCCAAAAATTTCTCCGTTATTATTAGAGATTTAATAAAAGCAGGGTGACAGAAGCACAGGTGTAGAAATAAATAATTTTTTTTAATTGTACTGAATGAAATTCAATAGAAACTTTCTTTTTTAATTACATGGAAATTTGCATTAAAATCTTTAGAATACTTACCGGAAATAGTTTTAAAGAAACTTAATAAGCAAACTTCTTGTTAAATAACAATTCAATATTTCACAAACTTTTCTTTGCGTACTCTTTTAGAAAACTTACTACGATAACTTTTTGGAAGCTATCACGGATAAGTTAATAGCGGGGGACATATAAAGCTACAGGGAAGCTAACGGGAAACTAACCGTCTTAATTTCCGAACTTAACACTGTTAGTTATCTGTTAGCTTCCTGCAAAATATGGTGCTATGTGGGAATACAATATATGGTATAGAATTAACCCACATAACACATTATATTTCCTAAATATTTCTGAAATATTTCTTTGAAATTATGAAATATTCCAAAGCAAAGTCCTTGAAATATTGCTGAAATTAGAGAAATGTCCGCCTATAAGAAATATTGCCGTGTAATTTTGCTGAAATATTTCACTAAAATATTATAGAAAAAATCCAACTTAAATGATGCGCACAGATTGATCTCAGTTTCTATGTCCTGTACAGCTGCGCAATTGTTTTTAATTTTCCACGATCCTAAGGTGTTGAACATGTTAGAAAATAACGATTGATTTCATATTTTAAAAAAGTTTCTAACTTTCTTTGAAATATTTCCTGAATATTGCAGAGTCTTCATGTGTAATATTGCAGGAGTCTTAAAGTGTAATATTTCAGCAAAATTGCACGGCAATATTTCTTATAGGCGGACATTTTCCTGTTTTCATCAACATTTCATAAACCTTGCATTGAAATATTTCAAATCTTTCAATGAAATATTCATGAAATGTTTAGGAAATAAAATGTGCTGTGCGGGAAAATATTTATGCCAGGAATATCTGAAAATTATCGTATAAAATAAAAGTAGGTAACAAATCTTAATATAATATCGAAAAAACCACAAATCTAATAATCGTCATCTATATTATCATTGCTGATCCATGGTTGTGTTAACCATTCGGCAAGATTATCAATTGCGAAAAAATCAATGGAGCTCTCTGAAGTTACATTATTTTCCATCTCTACACAAGACACCTTCAACAAGTTCCATTTCTTCATCCCAATTCTCTGTATTTCTTTTACGTTGATTTTTATGTAATATTTTAACGTGAGTAGTTAAGTGCGACTTTGCAGCAAAATAAAAGCCACATTCACTGCATATGCGTTCTAAAATTTTAAAAACAGTCTGTTAGTTGATTGAAGTATTTTGAGTCAATAGTAGTTTCAAAATTCAAGATGTATTTCAAATCAAAATTTGTTACGCTGAGTATCAAAATTTTTATCCGAGTCCTATCTGTGGAATCTTTTTAAGGGGTCACTTACCTTGCATAGTACAGGTAGTACTGAAGGGCAGTACAAATCATAAGGGAGATTTTGAGGTAAATCCTTCACAGTAAGTCTTAAATTCATTAAAAATGAAATTGTAATTTATGAGAATTCGGGTTTAGGCGGGTTTGTTATGATTTTTCACGTGTTACACACCGGCCGGCGTATATTGATTCGATAAAACTCGAACGAAATCGATAAAAATATCGAATGACTTCCGCAGCGCGTGCATAATACACTGGCGCGAAATTTAAAAGAGGGATAAAAAACAATAAAATTTCATTTTTACTGTGTCCACGTGGACAATTGCTTTGACCCCCCCCTCCCCCCTCGTGGACAATCGTGGACTTTTAATTAATTAATAATTTATTTAATTTCAAATTAAAAAAAAGAAGAATTTATTATATTTTTATTTAACACGAAGCTCAAGTACGCAACGTTTATGATAAACGATTTTAAAAAAAATAATTTTTTAAAATGAAAAATTCTATAATTTTTTACCTAAAAAATATTTCTTACAGTTTTTATTAATCAATAAATTATTAAAAAACTATTTTTTTAGGTAAACAATTTTATAATTTTTCGTGTTAAATAAAAATTAATTTCTAATCGTTGACCGTAAACGTTACGTACTTCAGCATCGTTATTTAACAGAAATGTAACTATATTTTTGTATTTAAAAAAAAAATAGCGCTTTTTCAAAATTTTATTTTATTTGAAATAACATTTAACCAAATTTGTTCTTTAGATCGAATTTTTGTTTATGCAATTTTTCATTTAACCAATTAACATAATCTCAATGCTAAAAACAGATAAAACAATAATTAGAATTTATTTCATTAAATTTTGAAAGATTTATTTGTAAAATTTGCAAAAAAATAATTATTTTCAGCCAAAATATGTTATTAAATGATAATTTAACTTTTTCTGTGTTTTGTTGATATTTAATAACTTTTGAAACAAAATTTAAACAACAGAATTGTAGAAAAAAAATTTTTTTTTTTTTTTTTAATAAAAACTAACAAACAGAAGAATTCAAAAAAATTTGATAAAAATTATACAATTATTCGGAAATTACTTAAAACAAAAAGATGGAAATGTTAAATAATTATTATTTGACTAGGGTAAATGCACTAATTGCGGCGAGATTCGAGTCAAAACACCTTTGAAATAGAAAATTCGACATTTCTATTGTATAAACTCAATTTAAGACTTATTAAACTTAAAGCTTATGTTATTAAGATATTAAAAAAAAATTTTAACTCTATAAAAATCGATTATTTAAACAAATATGAGAAATTAAAACTAATACCGTAATTTTCTATTGCGGCGAGTTTGTATCAGTTTCGGTGTATCAATTTCGGTGACCAAAATTACGTGTATTTTGAAGATACTTTGCCCGCCGAAATTGAAGCCAATGGAAATCTTAAAAATGTTTCAATTGCGGCGCGGAAAAAAATTTGATCTCAAATAATTAAATTAATAATTGTTTAAATGTGCATCTTTATAAGTATTTGTATCAAAAAAAGATTGAAATAATTTTTTTTAATCATTTGGCAACAGTTATATTAAATATAATAGTAATAATAGTTATTTTTTATGAACGCGCCGTAATTGGTGCACTCGCCGTAATTAGTACACTTACCCTATAAATTTTGACTCAAATATTTTTTTTTAATTGAACAAATAGATCTTTCATAATTTAATTTTTATTTTGGTGAAAAAATAATTTTTTTATTTTGAAGTTATGTTAAAGGTTTCAATCGAGGGGGAATTTACTCAGGTAGTCAAGTGTACACTCTTCCTGTAATACTTGTGTAATAACGTGTAATACCGTGTAATAATGCGTTATTACAGTGCTGTAATAACGCAAAAAACTCTGTAATATCTCTGTAATAATGTGTAATACTCTGTAATAACGTGTAATACTTAGTAATAAGGGTAATATGAGGTGTAATACCGGTAGTCAAGTGTACACGTTTTTAACTAGTAAATTCCCCCTCGGTTTCAATACACCGTCCGACAAAATTCAACTTTTTGTTTGACCCACAAAAAAATCCAACATTTTTGTAAACTAGGACCCAAAAAAATACCCGTGTCTGACCGTTTTGCTAGATCAAGTCATTTGTGGTTTTTAGGGGTGAAAACAGACCCTAAATAAAAAGTGACAAGATATCTTTTAAAAATTATTAATATTTTATAAAACTTGGTATCTTGGGGTTTTCGGGGTCGCTGATTATTAATCTGATGTCAGATTTTCAAAGTTCAAAATGGCGAATTCAATATGGCGGTCAAAATTTTAAAAAGTTATTAAATTTTTTTTAAACCTTAATATCTAGGGGTTTTTTTGGTCGCTGATGACGAATCTGATGTTAAATTGTAAAAATTCAAAATGGCGGATATAAAATAAAAAATTAATAACTTTTTAAAAATTTGATCGCCATATTGGATCCGCCATTTTGAATTTTGAAAATCTGACATCAGATTAATAATCAGTGACCCCGAAAACCCCCAGATACCAAGTTTTATAAAATATTAATAATTTTTAAAAGATATCTTGTCACTTTTCATTTAGGGGTTGTTTTCACCCCTAAAAACCACAAACGACTTGATCTAGCAAAACGGCCAGATACGGGTATTTTTTTTGGGTCCTAGTTTCCGAAAATGTTAAATTTTTTTCTAGGTCAAAAATTGTGTCGGACGGTGATATAGTCCTATTTTGTCATGTATTATAACATCATTATTATTATAATTATGATTATGATTGTTATTATTATGATTATTATTATTAATTAATATTTATTATTATTATTATTTTTATTATTAATATTTGTACAATATCGGATATTTGAA